AATGCACTTTTAGCTCATTTTCATCCCAACCAAGGCAAAATCTAAGAAAACACAAAAAGGAAGTAAAAAGCTATAAAATGTCAAGAACTAACTCAAAATAGTGGGTGAATAACATGAAAAATCATGTGTAAAAATGAACCGAACAATTGGGTAGCTGGTTTTTAGGAGGTATTTAAGTTATTTTTCAAAGCAAATTTAAGGACTACTTCTCTTTTGGCTTTTGAACGCGACTTTTGCTAGGGTTTTGGAAGAACTTCTACTTCAAGGTGTTTTCGATCTTTATTATTTTAATGAAGAACTTGATTATTTTTATTATGAACATGCGTAACTAACTCTCTTTTGCTAGGGTGAGGCCACGAGCCTTAGCAAGAATATGTAGTTTCTGTCCAATTTGCTTATGATTATATGCATGCAGGTTTTCGAATTATTCATCACTGGGTTAAACTATCTAAGTGTCTTGATGCTTGATCACCATTAGGATGTTTAGAAAAGTAATTTGATGCAGTTTTGGTCGGAGGTCGGTCCCTGAAATTGACGAAGGCTTCTTGTGATTAATATGTGCAAGTTCACTTAGGATGAATACCACGTCTTAAGGGTTGCATGGTTTTTCAAAAGGTTTCACAGAACTTAATGAGTCATGTATGTTTAGATTTGATCTGAATACCACAGACGGATTGCATGTGTGATATACGCTCTATGTTGGGGATCAAAGTAGGCATATATTAGGAATACCTAACCTTCGAAATATGCATGTATAGGTCATAAGTAATTGGGAGAACTATATAGAATTGTTAAGGTGACGGCGGATCCCTAGTGCTTTTTTAATTTGATTTCTAAAAACACAACTGTTTCTCTTGCTCTTAGCTTTAATTTTGCATATTGCCTTATTTTTATTAGTTAAATTCGTTTTAATTTAAGGTTTTCAAATCAAACATCTCAATTTTCTCTTTTACAATAATTAATTAGGATTTGGTTTGCGACAAGTTATTTAATAATCCCTGCGGAGAACGACCTTGCGAGAATCATTTATACTACAATAACCTTGTCATTCTTGCAAGTTTTATAGGAGTTTTAACCTTGTTTGCGCAGGTACAAAAAAGCCTATCAGTAACCAAGATAGATAGTATTAAAATTTCAACCCGTGTTGAGGAGGCATTTAATGATTCAAAGTGGGTTGAAGCCATGAATATTGAAATGGAGGTGCTGCAGAAAAATAATACATGAGATATTGTTGATCTACCAAAGGGAACAAAGCCTGTGGGATGCAGATGGGTGTTTACAGTGAAATATAATGCAAATGGTACTGTTGAGAGGTACAAGGCAAGATTGGTAGCTAAAGGGTTCACTCAGACATATGGGTTGATTATCATGATAGTTTTGCACATGTGGCTAAGATGAACACTGTCAGAGTTTTACTGTCTTTTAGCACTAAACCTAGATTGGACCCTAAGCCAATTTGATGTAAAAAATGCATTCTTACATGGTGAACTAGAAGAAGTATACATGAACCTTCCACTAGGGTATGGTGTCACTGGTGACACAGGGAACGTGTGCAAATTAAAAAAGGCATGGTATGACTTAGAGTAGTCTACTCGGGCATGGTTTGGTAGAGTTACTACAGCTACGAAGAAGTTTGGTTACCAACAGGCCAATACTGATCATACATTTTTCATTAAACATAAGGATGGTAAGGTGACTCTGTTGATTATTTATGTTGATGATATGATTGTGAGTGGTGATGATACTGTAGAAATCAAAGAGTTGCAGAAGCATTTAGCATTTGAATTTGAGATGAAGGATTTGGGCAACTTAAAATATTTTCTAGGTGTGGAAGTCACTTGATCTAAACATGGCTTATTTCTTTCACAAAGGAAGTATGTCATGGACCTGTTAGTAGATACTTTGATGCTTGATTGTTAATCAGTCGAGACACCTATTGTGGAGAATCATAAACTTGGGGTTTATGTGGATGAAGTCCTAACTAACAGAGAGGGATACCAGAGGTTGGTTGGGAGATTGATCTATTTGTCACTCACACGCCCTGACATTGCCTATGCGGTGAGTTTTGCTAGCCAATTTATGCATTCACCTAGTGAAGATCATATGACTCCTATGATGTGTATTCTGAGTTACTTAAAATTTGCTCCTAGTAGAGTTTTATTAATTTTTTTTTTAAAATGGTCATTTGGACTTGAAAGGTTACACTTATGCAAATTATGCATGGAATATTACAAATAGACGTTCTACATCAGGTTACTTCACCTTTGCTGGCGATAATCTGGTTACATAATGTAGCAAGAAACAAAATGTTGTATCTCGGTCGTTTGCAGAGTCTAAGTACAGAGGGATTGCCCAAGGCGTTTGTAAGATACTATGGTTGAGGTGGTTGCTTACTGAAATTGGGTTTAAGCCGAGCATTGCTACAAAGCTCCACTGTGATAGTTAGTTTAGATTTGAGATTGCGAAATAATCCCATGCAACATTATCGAACTAAGCATGTAGAAGTTGATCGGCATTTCATTAAAGAGAAGATGGAGCATAAGTTAATTGCTATACCTTTTGTGTCATCTTCAGGGCAACTTGCAGATATGTTGACCCATGCTGTGTCAAAACAACATTTCGAAGACTCACTTGACAAGTTGGGCATTACTAATATCTATGCACCAACTTAAGGAGAAGTGTTGGCGTGAGTCAACTATCCTATTAGGGATAGAATTATGTAATTATTGTATTTTATTGTAATTACGTAATTTGAGTAGAATTATGATATTTTGTGTATATTTCCTTTTTCTTTGTATCTCCTTATGTAAGTATATATATCCCTCTTAGAAAGAAGAATAAACACATCAGTTTAAACCTTAATTCTTTTGAGTGTTTGCATTTCTAAAAACTTCTTTTTTATTTTATTTATTTGGCTTTTTAAAAATTTAGAATGCTTTCATCTATATTATTCTCTACCTGTCTAATCTTAATTGTATTTTTCAGTTTGGAGCCTACTGACCGCTACTGACAGGAGAAAAAGCTCCGCGAGGAGAATGAATGAAGCAAAGAAGACCTTTAATTGGGTGATGACATGAAAATTTTAAAGCTTTTGTCAAACGCTACTTGGATCTTAAGATTCAATATTGCCACTCTAGGAAAACACAGCGTCTTGGTTTCTATGCAAGGAATTGCTTATGTCTCTCATGGATTTGGAGAGGGGTGCTAAAAATACAACATTGTTTAAACTTTCAAAGCGAATGAACTCCACCTTGTTTAGCATTGCATGCAGCACTCATTATCTTTCAACAATCTGATTATCCTATACCAATTAATTTATGGATTGTTTGATAACCATTTCAATTTTAGTTTTTAGTTTTAATTTTCATTTTCATTTTTTGTGAAAACTGAAAAACATGTTTGGTATCAGATTTCGTTTTCAAATTTTAAGAAAGTAAAATCTAGTTTTCAAAATCACCTTTATTTTTAAAACAACTTGGAAGTGTTTTTTGTTTTTTGTTTTTTGCACTATTGTTTGTTGGAGTGTTAGTTGACTTTCCTTGCACACCAAGGTTTCCCGTATTAACTCCTGTATAGATTGGAATTGATTTCCTTTTATTTCTGATTTCCTACTCTAAATAGATTTAGAAGTTATTAATTACTTTACTTAGCCTTCAAGGAATATTGTATTATAAATATGGCCTCCTATAAGGAGAAAAATACACAGAAAATTCCGACCACAATTACTCTTTCATAATTTTAGCATTATTTCATTCATTAGTTTCACATCACCACACATGAAATGCACTCCAGTTACTAAAAGTCAGTATTTGGGACCTCCCAACTTGGACTTGGGCGCTCGATTCGTGCTTTTGGCCACTATCCCAATCCAAGCCTCGTCAACTCCATATCCAAAAGTCACAAAAAAATAATCATAATTTCAAAAAATTCACCAAAAAATACTACAAACTTTTTGTAACATGAAGTTTTCAGTTTTTAGTTTTTGAAAATTAAAATGATGATCAAATAGGAGCTTAGTTTCTTTTCAAATCACAACAAACTAAAGTAGGAAAGTAAGGTTTGGAGTGGGGATCACATTCAATGCTGGTAAATTAATTTAGGAAATTACACTTGTGTTGTTGGATACTTATCAAGAATTTTTATTTTGCTAGTTGTAGTGTATATACTATCCTGGGCACATTGAACCGAAAAATCAGAAAATCGGTAAAATCAAATTGGTTAAGGCTAAATGGGAAAAGGAATACGTTCTTTTCTCTTCCTCAAGAAACATACATCCTCGCCACAAGAGAGGGAGAGTTGCTTGGTATTTTGCTAAATAAAATAAAATAAAATAATTAATAATTGAAAATAGAAAATGGTTGAAAAGGATATTGGGAATAAGGAGAGAATATGCGGGTGTCAGTCTGAGTTTATAATGCCTCCAGAGTATATCTAGGAAGAGGACACTCCAACTGGCAGCTATGGGTTTTTTTTCTCTCAAAACCACAGCGCAAACATGGGAACTGCGTACGTTTATTTATAATGCTAGAAATGGGTATATATATAAATAACTAAAAAAGGAGTATGGGCACTACATAATCAGGGAAAAAACAATTGTGTGGAACGGGAATAGCATTGTTTTGCTCTATATAATAAATGATGGTATGTCATGCGTGATAACTTTTCCACTTGATTTGGCATACCGTTCTACTTGGCTTAGCATACCATGATTGGTCAGAAATAACAAAAAAGTGTTATCCCGTTTAACACTGTTTTTCTGGAATCGGGGGGCCTATACGTGGGCTTATTATAGTAGAGATATTGCGAAGAAATGTAAGAAACTGCAACTGAATTAACATTTTCTATAACCTCCAAATGAAAATTATAAACTAAAATTTTACATATCGTGGGATAAGTTATTGTACAATAATTGGAGTCATGTACAAGGACCAGAATTCCATAAAATAGCCTAGAAACCTCCCACGAAAAAAAAAATAGTAAAATAAAATGGGTATAGCTAAACATCATGGCCTCCACATCCATGCGGTCCATTGAATCTGAAGCAAACTTCCAGCTTAAGGCATCCACTTGTTTCGGTTATGCAAGTGGATCAAGAATTGGATTGATTGTTGATGATGATATCACAACAAAAAAATTTGGCACGTACCATTATTCCAAGACTTCAGTTGGCCAAAGTCTCTTCCATGTGGAAATCTCTTCCTTGGTTCTAAGCTTCCTGATGCCCCCGTAAAACCCATCTGCCTCATTTCCCTCCTCTCGATGGTCTCTTCTGCTGATGTTTGTGCATCTCCACCGTGATCCATGCGTGTACTGGTTGAACTCCAGCACCACAGTGTCTGTTTAACAATCACAGATGATCACCTTGTTAATTTTTAATGCAATAGTTTCCAATTTAAGAGCTCAAGAAAAACTTTCCCTCTTGTATATTGCTCATTTCATCTGAAATCAAAGCAGTGATAAAAATCTATAAAAGAAATATTTCAGGATCTGTAATTGTTTCTGTGATTTTCCTATACAAGTTGTTTCTGTAAATCTATAATCAAACAATTTTCCAATTGCTGTGTTTAGAAAAACCAATTTAATGTATTTCCATTATCATGGGTTCTCCAAGCACTCCAAAATATTTGGTTTAGGAAACAAAATGAATTGAAACCCTGCCAAAACAAATAATTACAGTGCTATTTTCTGTCATTCATAAAGTAGTTAGAAATTCTTATTATAAAATATTATTAGAATTATATGACTATATATGATCACCAACATCGTCATTATCATATATAAATGTTAATGTCTGTTTGTGGTGAGAAGAGGACACAAATCTCTTGCAATATGCTTGGCTGGTGGGGTGTGATGGAGAGATTAAAAAATATTGGAAAAACAAAGAAGGATGAGCATGGCAGCCCCACAAAGCATTAAGATTCCCAACTTTGCAAAAAACAGAGACTCCAGGGAAGATTGAGTTCTTTCATTGTGGTTGGCTATAAATATTCTTCCCAGACAAATTTATCACAATGTTGGTGGAAATTATGACATAATGACAATGATATGTCTTGGGGACCAATCAAACAGCACAAAAACTGGTCCACCTTTTAAAATATTGGGTATCAGAAAAGGGAGGAGGCCAAGACTAGTAGTGTCTATTCTGTGAAAGCTAACTTTGCATTCTTATTATCCACAACTTAGAGATATCAATGGCTTCTTGCAAGAACCTCAATTCTTTATGAACTTAATTAATGAAGGTGGCTACTTTTATCGGTATTATCAGATATGAAAACAAGAGATTTTCTGCCCTAAAATGCTTTATCCAATTGCTGAGACAATGGTGAAAGAAAAAAAAAAATTTAAGTTGGAATCTTAGCAATATAATATTTTTCAGCCAAAATCAGTTGTCAGATTCTCCAACGGCAAAATCTCTTTTTGCAATCACATACTAATCAATCCTACAGAGCATAAATCCTACTTTAAGGGTTGAAAGGAATGAATTCAACTCACCACTAATATGACAAAGGCAGTAATTTTCATTTCCATCACATGATTCTAGGTGACCTACAACACCATACCACCAACCTGCAATACATACAGAAAATCATATCAAGCAATGGACAATGGGAAATTAATTAATTTCACCTTTTATTTAAGTTTCTGCATATTAAACGAATCTAATGCCTTTCAATTAGGTTGAACAAGCAAATCGAACCAAAAGTCGTATCTGTATATAGTATGAGTTATATACTGTTTAAGTTCTGATTGCCAAGTATTAGATGCCACCAAGCAAATCCAAGCAAAATTCAATATACCTTCTATATACAAATTAGGTTGAACTGCCTTCATTTTTTTTAAAGGGAAACGTTGGAAAATCATATTTGTAGACATTGCGGAAGCAGTCAATCTTCAAGTTTCTTCCAAAAGTAACCAACCAAAAGAAACTCTAGATGACTTAAATGAGCAGTAATGGGATTTAGAATAATTTGGAAGGGAAGTTGGACGAATAACAAACCATAAGGAAATTCTTTGTTTCTTCTCCATTGAATCTCAATATGATCACCAGGCTGTAACTCATTCAAACAGTCAGACATATGAAGATCATGAGGGGGAGTCTCGATTGGTGGTGCTCTAAGCCTTTCCCAAGGCACACCGTTTTCAATTGCAACTGCTCGCCTTCCATGTGGTGGGTACCTGAACAGAAAACCCACCTCAAGTTAGATCATCCACATCGACTTACCATAAGCAATAAGAAACAGTCATAAATGCAAAATCCCAATAACATACATAAGCAATAAGAAACAGTTATAAACATAGAAGGAGACCAATTGTCCAACTACCTGGCTTGGAAGGTGTCAGTGCAAGGATCATAGCTAATTTCAGCATCATAGCATGACAACATAAATCCAACATGTCCATTCTGCAATACAAGAAAAAAAAACATATAAAACATGTAGTTTTGGGAACAGAACAGAATCAACAGTTTTTAATAAATAAACAAATAATAAATATTGCAAACTCATAGATAACCTCGCGATTATAGACTTGAGCTGGGAACCAGAACCTGCCAGTCTCAAGAGCAAGGTACCAAGACATGATGGAATCAGCTGGCAAAGAACACCTCTGCTGGCTATGATCATCAACCCTGGATCTAATCCATGAGAAAGGCCAACCAAGAGATAGAATTCTCATGAGACCCTTTTGCTTGCCCTGCTTGACATCAACCAAATCGGTTTTGGAAGCAATATGCCACTGCCACTCCCTGTAGGCAGCAGGGCCAATAACTCTGCCCCATTTCTGTTTCATGTGCTTCTCCCAAAGGTGATCACTCCTGCATCTCTCCCTCAAAGAAGTACAAACACCTGTCATTCGAAAAAGCGCGTCGGGAGGAAGCCTCTCAAGTATGCATTCCAAGACCAGTTCTGGCAAGTCCAACACAGACATCTCTGGTGTGTCTTCTTCTTCAACATTCTCAACTTTAGCAGAAAGAGACAGAGGCTTCCTCTTGAGGGACATTTTGGAAGGAAATGGAGAAAGAAAGAAAATTGAAAAGCTCTTCTTTGTCAACTTGGATATGGTAAAGAATGATAATTCTTTCCAAAACCAGGGGGACAACAAGCGCATCTCACAAGCCCATGGTGGGAGAGGTTTGAGAGGAAGAGTCTTGAAAAAGAGAAAGGAGAGGCCAGTAATGAACAAGTAAAGTAGCATTACAAAAGGGTAATTCTCCTCTTAAGGGTCAAATTCTAGTTTGGCATAAATGATGAGGGACCAATTGTGGAAAAGCAAATGGTAAAATGCTAAATGGAGCAAAACTTGAACTGTCTTCACTTTCACTTCTTCCTCCTCTTCTTCACCCTCTCTCTTACAAATTGTAAAAGCAAAAGTGGGATCTTTAATAACCCCTTTCAACTGATGGGTTTTTATTGGTTCCGACGAAGCCCACCAAAACCCAACGGTGGGCCTCCTCTTCCAAAGTAATCAAACTATAATTGGCGATGACTGTGGACACCCTCTTACCCAAAGAAAAAAACCAACTTTGGTGGGAGCTCACCTTTAAGCCAATCTATAACCAAAAGGAAGCCAAATACTTTGCTCCCTGCCTCTCTCTCCTTCAATCAAAAATGAAAATGCTTAACTTTCCTTCCTTTATACTATAAGGACCCCAGCCGTACAGACAGCTTCAACAGCTGTCAATCAAGGAGAGGATGAAAGAGAGATAAAAAGACTAAACCCAAGAAGCTAATGGGGGTGGGGCACTCAGATCTGATACGGGCCTTCTGACACCTGGAGCTCCCAAGAAAAATAAAGGATTAAGATAAGTCTAGATGCAGAGACCCATATCTCCAAAATCTATGATTCTCTCTTTCGGAGCAAAGAAAATCTGGAAAAAATAATAATGAGCTGCAAAGCAGATCTGGGTAGTTGAGATTGAAACAAAATTAGGTGAAACGCAACACCCAAATGATCAATTTAAACAAATGAAATGAGTCCAAATTAAAGGTAAAGACAGAAGGAGATCAGGAGGCGGTGAAGTGAAAGATAACAGAGATTTTGATGAAGAAGGTGATGAACTTGAGAATTGTGAATTATTCACATTAGTTCAACAGATTCTTCATCAAAGAATCCTCCCCCACCCACGGTCCTCTCAACCACCCTCTCTCTCTCTTTCTTTTTTCCCTTTCCCTCTGTTTGTGTCTCTCTCTCAAGTAAATCAACGAACAGGTAGTGGACAAGAGAAAAAAGAAGAAAAACAATACAGACAGTCTTATATAATTGACTGAATTGGAGGCCATGCTTAAATAGTTTTTGGAGGCTTTTAGATTGTGTGGATATTAAACAAAGTATTGCCCTTCAAAAATGCAAGTAAAACACTGCCTCTCTCTTTCTCTCTCTAAAGATGTTCTCTTTCTTTCCCTTCCTCTCTCTACCAAGTTGGACTTTGAGGAAAATACGTATAACCAGAAAAGGCAACCGTTAGGGTGACGTTTATTGGTGGTTTAGAGATCCTCTTCTCATGCAGCCTCCACCACTTGCAGCCATAACGGTAACCAATGGTTCAGCAACATGTACGATCCGCTTCATCCATTTATGGACTACTTGCGGAGCTAAATAACAAAATGATATTTTATTTTATTTTCGGTTTCTGAGTAGATGCCATTGGGGAAAGGGGTTTACAAATATTCATTGTGTGCATGGGGATTTTGAACCTCTAATCACATGAATGAAAGTGGAAGAGTTCAACCAACTGAGCTATACCCTACTAGCAACAAAATGACAATTCAATACTATTGCCAAAAAAGAAAATAAGATAAAAAAAAAACTAAAATCATAGAAATGTTTTCATTCTTTGTATCTGGGATTGTGAACACTGGCGGACACACAAAAATGCAAGGAAGTGCAGCTACACCTCTCCTTATCGAAGAAAGAGTTTCGGGTGCCTAAAAGTTGGCCCCCCGCTTAGTTTGGCTATACACTCCTGGCCAAAGCGACGTCATTTTGGACCAAGAGGAAAAAAACAATGATCCGTAATGTAGACAGAGGAAAACTCCTTCAGCAATAAGGAGAGTTTGCTTTTTAAAAAAAGTAAAAAAAGAAAGTCTCACTTTTTTGTGAGATTCTTTACGACCCCACCAATCCAAATCCTTATAAATAAATAAGATAATTAAACGTCTCCACCACCAATTTGTTTATTTCCTTGTTTTTTGGGAGAACTCCAAGTCTTTTGATAAGGAATAAAATATTATATTGACCAAGTTTCCAGAGTAAGTTTGAACGTAATTCATAATTAATCTTTGGTATTGTTTAAATTATAAGGCTATTTGGTTGTCAGTTTTTTTCAAAGCTTTTAGCCTTTCAAAATTGCACCTCCGCAGAAAAATTCATATGTCTGCCAGTGATTGTGAATATACGAAACATGAGTGGATATAGTTGGGTAGCTCACAACAGCTACAATGGCTAGATTTCTTTTCTCTTTGTCTTTTTCTTTCACACAAATCTTCACAAAATTTGTCTATAAATATCCAACAAAGTTCATAAAACAATACGAATATACAGTACAATAACAAAAACAAAAACAAAAACAAACAAAAAAACCTTTCTTCCGAGGGCCAAACGGCGTCAGAAATGTTCATTAATGTTTTTCTGAGAGTAGATGTCCATCGGAAGGCATTAGAAAAGTGATCATCGAAAAAGGTCCATTTCCAACGAGCCATAAAAAAAAAAAAGGGTTTTTTTGACGGGCAATAGGCGTCGTAAATACTTTAACTTTGTCGAAAATAAATTTTCAAAACAAGGACATTTTTGCATTTGCGATATGCTAATGTTGTCGAAAATAATTGGGAAGCTTGTCGTAAATGTTTTCTTAAATGATGAATTTTTGTTTTTTCAGACAATGTTTTTTCCACAAAGAAATGTTATTGGAAACATTTTTTTCGACTAACCCGTGTATTTCCGACAATGTCAATTCATCTGAAAAATGACATTCTCGATAATACAATCCATCATAAAAAAAAACATATTTTTGATGAAAATACATCTTCAGAAAACGTTATTTACAACAACACAAAGCTATTGGAAATAGGCAAAGGTGTCATCGGAACTACGCAATTATGAATATATAAAAAAAGTAGCGTAGTGAACACTCGAAATTCTCATAAATGGAGCATAATTTGTCAAAAATATAGAAATAATATTTCTGATCGAACATCTGAAAATATTTTCTAAGTAGTAAATAAAACATTTCTTTGGAGAACAATACAAAATAAAACATTTCTTTGGAGAATAGTACAAAATAAAAATAAAAACTCAACTTTGTTCATAGACAAATCAAAACATTCTATCACATACACTCTTGTTTCTTTGATCCAATGATTCCTATGAATTCAAATATGTGTAATCATGATTTTAGATCTCCATAATCGAAGGCTATGTCGTAAGGAATCAGTAATAACTTTCTGTGTATTATTATTATTTTTATTTAATTTCTTACGAATTGTTTAAGATAAAACAACATAAATAAAATAAAAAGGACATGTGTCGCCATCTTATACTACCACACGTCAGAAGTGTTAACATAGAGCTTTTCAGAAGTTGCCACGTGTCAATCTATTATATTTCATATCATTTCCCAACTATTTAAGTTCTAAAATCCATAATAAATTAATAAAAAAATCAGAAAAATTCATATTATGACCCCGGCAAATAGACATCCTTTTGCAAGAATAAATGATTGCCCTTGGAAGTACATAATCACTTCCGACAACAACTAATTACCCTCGCAAATAGAAAAATTAATTCCGACGACCACATATTGCCCTCAGAGGCTATAATTTTCGACAACGTGAAGATACCTTCAGGAAAAAAAAACCACATGTAAGCGTTCTGCTTAATGTTTGTTTTTAGTATAAGGACAAGAATCAAACTCATGACCTACAGTTAACCACTACCACTTAAGCTGCTTGAACTACAAGTAAGCGTTCTGCTTTTCATCTCTTCATCATCTCTTTAGTTTAGTTGATATATGTGTCATTATGTATAGTTTGAACTTGAAGTAGTACATATAAAGAGATAAACTTGATAAGTAAATAGAGTTGCTCCAAGGGCTAAAATGAATCGTCGCGTTTCAAGACTACCAAGGACAATATGTTCATATTGCTAAAATATGAATATGGGTTTTGAATATGTTAGGTTCTTATTTTTATTCTTCTCCATAAGGAGGTATATATAAGAGTTTACATGAGTGCTTTACAAGGAATTAGATATAGAAAAGGATTAGGAAAGTATCTCCTAATTATACAATGATTTGACAACTATATAAAATAGGAAAGTAAATCCCTTAATTAACCAAGGAAATAAATCTATAAAATAGGAAAGTAAATCCCTTAATTAATCAAGGAAATAAATCTCCTTGATTAATTAGGAGACTCACTTCAACACTCCTCCTCAAGTTGGTGCATATACGTCAAATGCCCAACTTGGTAAGTGAGTCATGAAATTCGTAGCACCCAAGTCGATAATCCACGCGAATTTTTGAGAGGACATATGAAAAGTAGAACATCAGGATTGACCGCATGCTTTTGTGAGTCTTAAGATTCGATCAACTGCATTCCTATGAGACACATTGTGCCCATGTGCCATTCTTCTGGATAGCTCGCATTTCTTCATTCATGTCTTCTTCCCATTTTTGGTCTTCTAGTGCTTCAGTTACACTGTTGGGAACAGGTATGTCGGCTAACTGCTTCACAAAGTGTACCCGTGACTCTGATAATCTGTTGAGGGATACATAATTGTTGATGGGATATTTCCCCTTTGCATTAAGATCTGCTTCGTAGTGAACTGGAGGTTTACCACGATTCTTCCTTTTTTTGGAATCTGATATGCAGGCTCTGTGCCTTCTGAATGACGTCCTCAGCAGGTGATTGGTGTGGTACTGGAGCTGAAGTGGACAAAATCTCATAAGACGGTTCAATTTCCTCCTCCTGATTTTGACAGCGTGGAGAGAACTGATCGTTTTCCTCTGGTGACCGGTCGCTGGATTTTGG